AAGCTCCACCCACTAGTTCAGCAAATCCTTTGGTACTTTTTTATATTTACTGTCCCTCAAGGAATTAAGGAGGAACTTGGATCTCTAGGTGGGGCAGTCTCCATTCACTGAGACAATGCCACCTTATGAAGACTATTGATGGATAGAGAATGGTTTATTTAAGGTTTCATAATCCAGACTTGGTATCCAAGGCATCGAAAACAAAACAAAACAAAACAAAAAATTCCCAAAATGCCCTCAAATATTTTGGGAATGTCCTCCGATAACAAGTCCTTGAGTTGCTAAAAGAAGCTGATGAGGTTACACTGACAATCATTACCCGGCCTGTTAATGTTTCATCTGACACTGAAGGTTTCTGCATATGTTGGGGTTGATGAAGCAGAACACAAACACTAACACGAAGTATTAAACTTTAGCATGTGGGTCAGTGACATTTAGCATAAATGTCCACAATCAGTGTTATTTTAGTATTATTGATATAATATTACAGTATTTATTACTATTTTGAATTTTATTTTATATTTCCAGTTTTCATTTTCTTTTTACTTTTACTAACTTGGTTATGTGCTTTTGTCTTTTGGATGAGCTTTTCTTCAATATTTTTATTTAGATTTAATACAATTTTATTTAAGTTAAAGTATTTATTTCAGGAAGTTGCCAAAGTAAAATCTCTAATTTCCAATAGGTTTTTTAAGTTTAGTATAGTTATAATTTATATCATTTCAGATTTATTTCAAACACCACAAACCTTTTTTTTTTTTTTTTTACTCTTTTTAGATTAGTAAACAATAACACTGTCCAGAATGACAAAAAAAAACAAAAATAAGAAAAATTCTTAGAAATGTAGTGTTTGTATTCATGTTAGTTTCATATGGTTTTGAAGAACTTATATCATTTTCAACAAGTTTCAATTAAATGAAAAAAAAATGTGAACAAGTAAAAAGCAAAAACATACTTTCCTCATACCTTGAATACAAGCGAGTGTATACAATCATTATTTAAAAAAAATGTACAAAAATATATTTCATGATAAAAAGTTAACTTTGTCTTGTCATTATGTCAGATTTGTATTTCATAATACAAAAATCTTTTTAAAATGAACTTGAATTCAGAAATTAAAGACATGCACATCATGTGTGGGATGTAAAGGAATGTTATGAATCGTATTTCTAACATATTTCAGAATAAGTTATTTCAGACACAAAATGAGCATTGAGCCACCACTTTCTTCTGTGCAAAATAAAAGATATTTAGAGAAATATCAGTGTTTTTTTTCTCTCTCTCCATACAATGGAAGTTAATGGTAACAATAATGTTCACGTCATACTATCTGTTCTGCAGAAGAAAGAAAATCATACAGGTTTGAAACGACATGAGGGTGAGTAAATGATGATAATTTTCATTTTTAGGGTGAACTGTCCCTTTAAGTCAACCATCCCTATAGCAAACAAAACACATAACAACATGCTAAAAACCACTCTGAACACCTTAGCAACAGCATAGCAACAGGAACAAAGTATAGCTACCAATGGAATACAGCTGGATTTCCCATATCAAAGATGTGGGCTTCATCTCTGTGGTTACATAAAAATAAATTTAGGAAGTGTCAAAATCGAAGCACCCTTTTTCCAAAAACCCAAGTGTGGTCATCTTACTGGAATCATTTCACGCCCTCAGGGCAACAGTCTTGACAGGAAATGCAGGAGGTATGTACTAATGTCAGATGGTGTTGTGTAAAGGTGTGCCCCCTCAAACATTATCTGGAAACGCTTTCATAATAGGAGACCACATGTTTCTGGTGGTCCAGCCCAGTTCTTTACAACTATTTACATGAGTTGTTCTGCATCATAACAGAAAACATAAGGAAACAAAGAACATAGGAGATGTTTCTACACACCCACCAACAGGGAACATTCCCAGAACTTTAGGTAACATTCTGGCAAAGTTCCCTCAAAGTCATGAATAAACATTCTTCCGGTAACATTAATAGAATGTTAATTTAAAGTGATCTGGTCTTTAATAACAGTCCCATAAATTTTGCAAAACGATAAACAAACTTAATGCTTTCTCTAATGTATGCATAACCAAGAAAATCAATTTTACAACATTTAATGTCTTGAACATTCGGATAACTTAATGGGAAACTTTAGCAAAATGCTCTTAAACATATTTTTGTTAGCAGGGCAGTTTGGCCTAAACCTTTAGACATCAACACACCTTACGACAATTAAAGGACTGAATACAGTTGATGGGAATACTACACTAACCATGCAAAAACAGAAAAACGTCCTTCAAAACTATATCGTTGGCTCAGACATGTGAATAGTATCACTGAAGAGAAATGGGGATATACTGTAAGGGAAAGCTGCTTCTCGAAACCACAGTGAAGCTACAAAGCGCGCATTGACTCAAATGAGTGGCAGAACCAGTAGAGCCAGATTAGGCTGAGTTTACTGCAGCACTGTTTAATCATTGGTCTCATTTCAGCGAATCGGTTCGTTCGAACAGAAGTTCAGAAAGCACCTCCTCTCTGCAAACTTATTGTGGGCCTATCAGTCATATTCTTGGATGACTCTAAAACCGGTTCTCGGCTCACTACGAGTCAGAAAATGACCCAAAATTCCTAAACACTCGAGAATCACTTTTTCAGTGCACTAATTCAGTAGCCTACGATTTCGGTACGCGTACGAATCGTTCAGACAGGATTTGTGAACTGGCTCGACATGTTCATTAAAAAGAACCGATTCAAAATAACCATTCGAAAGAATCGGACATTGCTATCGCTTAGTTTATGAGTTTTTTTTAATGAACAACGGTTCTCATAATATAATAGATAACCTAAATTAAAATGAACCGACATTCACATTTAATAAGTCAGAATTTTGAATGGCTAAAAACATACAATATTACGGTTCGTTTTCTAAATGAAACCATATGTTCACAAGACAGTGGTTCAGAATTGAGGACATAGGCTATGTTCAGGAAAAGACTTACTAAAATAACAATTAACAATGTTTCTCATATGAATGAGACATATTAAAGTGCATCAACATTATTCACATTTTGCCGTCAACAAATATGAACTTTGCTAAAAACAAATAATTTTACGGTTTAAGTCAGACTTTAGAAACAGAAAATGCTCAAAACTGTGGACCAATAAAGTGTCTTTAGCAAAAACAATCTGGCAACACATAGCTAGCTACACAAACTCACCTAGAGAAGCAGAAACATGTATAATCTAAAATACGAGCTGTAAATTCAGAGACCACACGAAGCAGGTTGTGTTTACACAATGCCGCCAATTATTTACCATTTCGCCGTAATTTCCAGTCAACCAGCTTACATTTCAGCAAAATGTGAAATGACTCAGGCCAACACAACAAAGCAGCAGGAAAGAAAAACACTCGACTCACCTTATTATGTGTCTGCTTTAAAAACGAATGCTAATATATAGTTAATTCCGTATTGGAGGCCTTACAGGGCCTGGCACCTGAAGGTTTCTATTAAGGTGTCGTTATATTTCCCAGCATCTATACGGCACCTGCTCGTGTACCTGTAAGCATGGGGGAGGAGTTTAATACAGGTGGGTTGGGCAGATTCGTCACAAAGCTAGTTATTACACCAAACACTACTCTACAGTGTCATTTTCATCTTATTTTCCGTTTTGTCACACCAAATGGCTGTGGGATGCATAGTGTCAAAATAAAATACGTTGAGTACAAGTCTCTAAAAATGTGTTAAAATAAGACAAGATAGATAATTCGAGGCTTAATTTGTTTAGTAATACCTACTGTGCTATAAAAATATTTTTAGATTTTTTTTTCTTTTGTTATTTTGTCTAAAAATACTTTATGTCTGAGAAAATATTTTTCATTAGACGATTAGAGTAAAATAATTCCTACACTATAGCGCCATCAGTCGGGAAGGCGCGGTCAGACGCCTGACTGAAGTGCGTTAGCTGCTGCTAGTTTTCCTCAGTGAATACATTGACTGTCCCTCAAGTAAACACGATTCCAACCCCAAAAATAAGTTAAGATTCTTTAAAATAATAGGAAGAGTATATATATTACGCAAAATAGCAGGCTACCATGAAATGCTTTGTTGTACCACCGTATTTGCATTTGCAGGGACTTATCTTGCTTAGTATTTTTGTCTTGTTTCTAGTCACAATTTCTAAAAATTCTTAAATCAAGATACTTTTACTAGATAAGCCAAATGACTTAAGATATTTGGTCTTGTTTCCATGGGGGAAACACTAAATTAAGTGCATTTTGCTTAAAACAGGTAAAATTATCTGCCAGTGGGGTAAGTAAAATATTCTTAAAACAAGAGTATTTTACTTACACCACTGGCAGATCATTTTACCTGTTTTAAGCAAAATGCACTTAATTTAGTTTTTTTCCCCCTGGAAACAAGTGTAGTAGCCAGTCTTTTCTAAGACTAAACTTAACTTTATGGTCTTTGGTGTCAAGGGTAATACAAAATGGTATATCATTTTAATTTAGTTATGACATTTCATACACTTACAAAAGGTACAATGGTGTTACCATGTTTCTTGACATTGCCACCAAAACCATGATGGTAATGCTATGGTATCATTTGAAGTACCTTAGAATCATTAGATCAACTGTTCTCAACCAGAAGACAGGTGACCACTAGGGGCCTTAGTAAACTTCCAAAGAGCCACAATGTCTAGTAAAATGTTTATAAGCCTATTAATTATTTTTTAAATATGTAAACATTAATTAATAAATTAATATGTAAATATACAAAGCCACTAAAAAAAAAAAAAAAAAACATATTTCTATACTTCTGGAGAAAAATCAAGAAAAACATAAGCTAAGTGCTCTCAAATTAAGATGCAATAAAATTATTAATTTGTAAAATTATTTTCCTTTAAATATCGTCATCAGTAAACAACAATTTTTGTATTGGCAACATATAACAATACAACAATAATTGTAATTAATTTACCAAAAATAATCGCACAACAAACTCCATAATCTGAACATTTTATTTTTTGCCTTGTTAATAACAAAGTTTGTAATATGTTCCATTCTTTAGATACAAGTAGAAAACAATTTCTTTAAGAAACAGTTGAAAGGCACAATTAGTTTTTTTGTTTTTTACAATATATACAATTGGATCTAGATTATAAATAGGCCTATAGAAAATGACAAAAGCATAAGAACACAGGAATAAAACGGTTCAAGATACATATAGTCAGTAGCATGTTTTTCTTTCCTAGCAATAAATTACGTAAAAGCCATATTGATATAAAAGCAAAGCCAATGAATCGAGATGTTTACAGAATTGAACATTCCCATGAAGGGCTATGAGCAAACAAACATGGCAGCACTGGATCACAAACCAGACAGAAACTCATTTATGCAGTTTTAGTGCAAATCATACACAGAGCAAGTCAAATGGATTTCTATTTAGTAACAGAGATTAATTTGACTTTGTCCCAGTTTCATGGCCTCATCGTATAGTGCTTTCATTGTGTAAGATGCTTTATTAGAATGCATAACCGAAACTTAAGTCACATGTTCATCTTACTGGCTGTTTTTAGAGCGGCACTGAGAAAACTAAATGGATGCATTGTGAATCACTTGTAAAGTAAAAACTATGTGATGCACTATAATATCATGGAACAATTCAAATTATTGAACGAGTATGTAACAACAATATGCAGGAGAAAGAAATTACATGTCATTTCACATAAAAATTTTCAAGTGCAAATGTGGCTGAAAGAATCTCCCTCAATGAAAATAATAAAATAAACTGTGCAGTGAATATGCAATAATGGCTAAATAAATAATCTTTAATATGTGTCAATGACAGGATTTTACATACACAACAAACCATATCTTTACGCAGACATTAAACATTTGGATATATTTTATCTAAATTAAATAAAAATCTTTAACTAATTGAACATAAATTTCATCCTGAGATAGGGAGTGGTTTTAACACCATAAAGCCATGAACTTATGAAGTGAATATTTGGGTTTCAGTTCGATATTAATATCTCTCTATTGCTGTGAAAATATTTAAGAATGTATCAACTGCATAAAGAATGAAGATAAACAGAAAAAAGGAACAAAATATTCAACCACCCAGTGCAGCAGAGCAATGTCAATTGCTGTCTGCACAATTACAAATATCATAGTATCAATAAAACAAAATATAAACAATAATCTAAAACATGTCCCTTTCAAATTAAATAAGAATAATCAAGTAATTGTTATACACCTTACAAATATTTAAAACATTTGACAATGAATCTATTAAATAAAGGGCTTAAATTCAACTAGATAAAAGTTTGACTGTACCAGGAATGTCTTTCGCATCGCATCAAATTATGAAATCTGATCTTTTTTTTTTATCCACTCTGGATTGTAAGGAAGGAAGGACTTTTTAGTTTCTAGGTCACAATGAAAATATTGTACTATATATATATATATATATATAACAAAAGGACGAAGTGCTACTAAATTCCTTTTGGGATCAATAAACCAATCAGCTAATAGATTGTTACCGTTCTGTCTTATTACATTGCGAGACAGGGGACAGCAGGACAGACTGTTCTATTTTAGAACAACAGAGAGACAGCTGCACAGGTAAGTTACGCTCTCCTACTAGCACACTGTTTCAAGGCCTGATAAATAAAGGCAATAAATACATTACAAACATCTGCACGTGAACGGTACAGGAGTATGTGTTTACGTCTACATTCCACTGTCTGTTCCAAAGGCACATTTCGACAGTAGCCTGTTCTCTTGCTCCTCAGGAAAAGTGTTTCGTCTAACAGAAGTTCATCATGGAAATGTAAAGCTGATGATTGTCCAATGCAAAACAAAACTTAAGCTCCTTGCCGAAGTGAACTTTGCGCTATGTCTTGCATATGTGAGGTTTGTACAACTTCAGCTAGGCCCACATGGAATCTGTGGCCACACACAAAAAAAAGATCCTACAGAAAGAAGATACTTGAGGTAACATTCGGGGTTCCTTTTGGTCGGCACATTGGTAGAACCCTTTGGAGAACCTCTAGGCACACTTTCAAAATGGAGAGTCAGTAATGTTCTATAAGGAACGTACAGCCAGTTCCTTTAGTAACTCTAAAGAAAGTTTCTCCAGTGGCCCCTTTATAAAAGAAAGCCTTTTGGGGCACTTAAAATATATACTGAAGATCTCTCAGGACTCTAATCACATTTGAGGCACCTTTAAAGGTGGCTGGTGCTTCCCCGGAGGGTTCCTGCAATGAGGAACCAAAATGGTACCTCAAGTGTCTTTTCATTTCTGCATGCTCCATCTTGAGCAAAATCTTTAAGCAAAATATACTGTACGATGTGGTATGATATAACCTAAGCAAACCTTAAATCGCTTTCACTCTTGGTAAATCAATACTCTTTTAAAGCCCCAGTGTATAAAATTCCGGCTGTTTAAACTGGGATGACAACCTCGGTAACTATCCATAGTATGGAGACAAAGTGTTTAGGAACACCAGACTTCCTCCCATCTTATGAAGCAGAATCTCATGCTTGTGGAACCGAGGCCAGTGTTGGAGCAGGACGCCGGCAGTGGTCAGGCTACAGCCCTGAGTGTGTGCGCGTCTACAGGAGAGTCCGACTGGAAGGATCTCACTCGGGTTGTGGGTACTTAATGACGGACTGCCGTGATTCTGTTCCACCTTGCAGCATGCTGTTCAACACCTCTCGTACGTTTATGATGGCTTCAGAGCTGCAGTGGCTGTTGGGTACTGGGAGCATCTGCTGGTCCGTAGGGGAGAGAGAGATGCGCGACAACAAGGAAGATGATGAAGGTGGTGTGAGTGAGTGAGTGAAGTTGGACAAGGAAGAAGAGAAGGAATTTGACAAGACCATGGGTACCGACAAAGGTGCATCTGAGGAGGAAGAGGCAGGGGCAGTCTGACTAGGGGGTGTTATAAAGGAGTTCAAAGACAGTATCATGTCTAACAGTTCTGTGTCCCGTGCTGAACTGCTTTCCTGTGTGGCCTGGCTCTCCTGCTGTGGTTGTTGCTGCTCTTGAATAAACACTTCAAGGTTAAAGTCGTTCACCATAGGTTCGGGTTGCCTGGAGAGGTTGTCTACACCCAGGTCAGCTTGAGTGCTAACTTGGGAGGAGGGCGAGGATCTTTGAACCGACAAGTCCAGGATTTCTTCCAAAGGGTATTTTATGGAAGGGAACGAGGGGAAGGAGATGTACGGAGTGGGTAAGCTGGCCAGGCTGGGATTTGGCAAAGATGAGGTGAACAAATTTTGTGAGAAAAACTCTTGCTGCTGACGCTGTGCCATCAGCCTCTGTTGCTCCTCAGCCTGACGCTGCTCCTGAGCTTGCTGCTCCTTCTCTCGATGTCGCTGCTTCACCTCTGCATCCATCCTCACCAACTCCTGACGCACCTTTGACATGCAGTTCTCTGGGATTTTAATACCTAGGTTGAAGAGAGAACATTAATTACAAGATGCCACCTTCTTTCAAACGACTGCAGTGGTTTTGTTGAACCTACAACCTTTTGGTTTGGAACTCATCAGGAAGGGTTAACGGGTTGACTCACCAACTTGTTTGCTGCTGTCTTTGGTTTTGAGGCGGACAATTTGGAGAATGCTGGAATTGGTGATGTCAGCGACCACATCAGACACACGCTTCCAAACGCGGAGCAGAGCGCCACACAACATGTGATACTGACGCAATCGAGTACCCATTAAGCACTCCTGACCCTCCTCTACCTTCTTACACCTCCCGTTCCTGCAGGAAACATGCATACACGTTAAATCCTCTGAGCTCAGTTTGACTAGTACCAAGTCAGAAGTCTGGAAGGTTTTCTCACCAGTTAGCATGGCTACATTTCCTGAAGGAGAAAGTGAACTGGTTTTCCCAGCTATCTTGTGCCTCCTCTGGAGTGACCTGAAGCAAGGGGAGAAAACATCACTTAAAAACAGTGTCTTCAACCTATATTGCTCACTAGATGGCAGCAGAGACGTTTTCCACACAGCAGGGTCTGATCATTACATTTATGATGAAGAGTTTGAACACACCTTGTGGTATTTTTGTTGAAGGTTATCAAGGCTTTCCGTTTGGGCCTGCTTGCCGATGTTTGGTTTGTAGATGATCATGTTGTGCTCCTGGCCCTGCACGGCTAGCAGCACGCATGGGTAGTTACCTCTCAACTGCAAATGAGACAGGCACAAACATGTTCAACAGCAGAGTCAACATCAGACAACTACGGAAGAACTCTAATGACACATGAACCCTCCTTCACCCCTGAACAGAAAGGTTCTTCCAAGGAACCATCTTTTCTGTGTTACTACAAGGAAACTACATGCAAAATTGGAAAGATGAGATTTTTTGCTCATATACTCACTTTATGGGATAAATAGAAGCCTTCATCCGGGTTGCTGAGAGTTTGGGCCTTCTGGAGAGCCTCCAACCATGTCATACCTCTATCTACACTTATCTGTGCAACAAAACAAACAGTTCTGTCAGAGATAATGCTTGTCAGACATGTCCACAATGGTTGGACTAGTGTCCAACATGTCCTGGCTATGACTGGATCCCAAATTTATGAGAAAAAGGTATCGCAGTGTGGTTTATTCTCGGTCAAGGAACTGCTTACAGTAATGGCTGTTAAACCAGTCCTCATTGCATAAGCTGTCAAAATAAACTTTGCTCTTGGTGGAAGGGATGATTAGCATGTTTTGTAGTGTATGTCACACATGAAACTCGTGTGCCTTAGGCATATTTTCTGAGCTCTGCCATTAAAGAGCTGTTTTGTTTGAACCTCTGCTTCTACTTTAAAAAAAAAAAAACTGACCTTATATAGGATAACTTGACCATCTTGAGGGTTTCCCGCCGTTAGAAACTTCTCCTGTGTTTCCTCATAAATCTGGTCATTTCCTGGTGCCAGATCTGAGAGAAAGCAGAAATCTTCATGTTGTCATCTAAGCAGATCAATGCAACTTAAAGTACCACACCAACAGAAGAAGTGCTGCTTACCCAGTATTCCCATATCATATTTGCCCTCTTTCTTGTCCTTTTCGATCAAGTAGTCGAAATTGTCCGTAAAATACTGGAAGAGGGAGTTCTGTTTGTGCACCTCCAGGCCCAGTATCCGGTTGAGGAACTTGGTGATATTGCAGTCTGAAACAACATGAAGTCACATGATGTAGGGAAATATGTGGATGTGTGTGATTAGCATGTGAAGAAATGTGTCAAGTGTGGACAAAACAGATAAGATATGCAATATGTCTCTTGTGGAAACCTTACCTTTTTCAGTGTTGATGCCCAAGCGTGAATTACTGCATAGCATGCCTACGTCCATCATACCGTGCTTCATGTCTAAGATTAGAAAGCATTGGTAGCTTTGGTGAGACTATTCTAGCTGATCCACATCTTAACAGAATAATGCACAGAACCGGTTTACCTCTGAAGAACATGGAATCGCCACCAGGATAGTCATTTGGAGGGGGTACCTTGCTTTCAATCTGACCAAGGATGGCTTTGGTAATCTTATCTAGAGCTTTGGTGCCATACTATGAGGAACAGCCAAATCAGACCACGGGTTAGTCCATGATTTATGAGTATTTTTAGCAGTGTCATTGTTCTATATCAAACAGTTACTCACTTTATTTTCAAAGTTGTACTTGCTCAGGTCTCTAGACTCTGTGGCCCTCCTGTCACCATGAGTCAGAGCTCCCTGTGAAAAGCAAACACATAGGTTAGAAATGTCAGGACCAAAGTAGTGATTTGAACCTAAGGTTTTAGGTATATGAGAAGTACGGAATAGAAGTGGAGTGAGGAGAGAATTTTTTATTTATTTTTTAAGTCCCAATATCGTTCCAACACATTAATGGCCCATAATTTTAAGAATTCACCATGTGAAACAGTGTTTCTAAACTATTTGCAGTCAGAACAAAAGAAAGATTTTGTAAACATTATTTGAAAGACTGTTAAAAATACTTCATTTAAAATAAATTAGAAAAATAAAAATTATGCAAAATCCACTTTTACATGGTGTTTGGACATACATGTGTGCTAGCAGTGTGTGAACACAACCACCCTACAATAATAAAAATCCACCCACTCCTTATTTTTTAATCCCCAATAAAACATATCAGTCTCATTAGGCATGCCGTTTTGATTCTCTGAGCATTGTGATGTCACATTGTTTAGGCCCCGCCCACGGTTGCTGACTGACACCACCGTATTAGCAGAGCCGCACACAATATCTTCACGCTAGAGCATTTAAAAGCAGCATTCAAGTTAGAAATGTCTTCTTATTAAAGCTATAGAAGTTATTCGGTCAAGAGTACTGAGTGATTTTCTGTTTTTATTTTATTGTTTGGGTCATATAACAGCGTAGACAGCAGTATAGGTACTGCATTATTACGCTGCTGTCACTTCATACACAGATCTAATATAAGCATGCAATTTCTTTCCCAGCTGTTTACCTTTACAGACATAACTGACTGTTTTTGTAACGTGTTTTTAACATAACCTTGTGTATTTGACAGTTTAAGAGTAATAAGACATGAAAGAGAACTTAGTTTAGTGCTCACATGCTGTGTGACAGTTGCTTTCTGTGTGCACTCAGAAAACACTATATCAGAAGTCTAAACTGATACGGCTTTAAAACACATGATTTCAGCGCGATATACACAATAATCAAAACCAAACAGATGTTTTTTGGCAGAGTATTTGAGGTACGAGCTGTAAAGGCACAGCCCTATCCTGGAAAAGGGGGCGGGGAGAAGAAGCTCATTTGCATTTAAAGATACATGCACGAAAATAGCATTTTCAAAATGATCTAATAAATTATCTGTGGGGTATTTTGAGCTGAAACTTCACAGACACATTCTGGGGACACCTGAGACTTATATTACATCTTGTAAAAAGGGGAATAATAGGTGCCCTTTAATTATATAACATGTAAATGCAAGCAAAAAACGTGTAATAAAATATGTGACCCTGCACCACAAAACCAGTCTTAAGTTGCTGGGGTATATTTGTAGCAATAGCCAAAAATACATTGTATGGGTCAAAATTATAGATTTTTCTTTTATGCCAAAAATCATTAGGATATTAAGTAAAGATCATGTTCCATGAAGATATTTAGTAAATTTCCTACCGTAAATATATCAAAACTTAATTTTTGATTGGTAATATGGATTGCTAAGGACTTAATTTGGATAACTTTAAAGGCGAGTTTCTCAGCCGCTCTCGTACTGTATAATGACAGCAGACCCTTCTCAGCCGTTCCAGCAACATCCGCAACCCGAAAAACTATCGGCATGGATTTTTGCCGATAACCGATAGTTCCAGCAAAAAACTATCGGTGCCGATTAATCGGCAAAACCGATACATCGGTCGACCTCTAGAAGAGAGCTTTTATGACCAGGTTAGAGGCTGTGGAATTATTGATGCCATGTTGGGTGTTGACAGTGTAACCACTTTTCAACAGCATCAAAGCACTTGTGATCTAGCCTGGAGCTGGTAGACTGTCCCACTTAGAGTAGACAAAATAACTAGTGCATGGCCACAAACTTAATAGGTAGACATAAGGCAATGCTGCCGACTCACCAAACTGCTGGATGGCCCTGTCCGCACTCCAAGGCAGCTCCAGGGTCATGTGAACCCTCCGACACTGATTCTTCACCCTTCTGTCAGCTTGAAGTGAAATCCCAGAACTGGCCGCTTCTGATATGATGGCTACCAACTGAAGGGAGTAAAGCAGAGTGTTACTGGATGGACCAAAGGAATCGGAGCCGAAAGGTTGGTGATTTTCTTTCTGAGATTTACCTTCTCTCCATTCATGAAGCGATCTTTCTCTTTGATGTTGATTTGGTCGATAGTGTGGCCCTGCTCAGCGCGAGACTCATATTGGACGCTGCCGTCAGACCGACGCACCACTCTGCCTTTACGTCCCGTCATCTGGGCGCATAGACATAAAAGATGTTTAGCACCTGGACACAACCTTGTTTTTGAAGTGTAACTATCCTTGGACTATTAAAATAAATACATAAATAATGACCTCTGATACTTGTTCTGGACCTCCAAATTTATCAATGAGCTCATCCAGTGTGTTAAGAGGTAGTTCTTTTCCCAGCTCAGCGATCTTGTTGAGAAGCCCTTGTTTCATCTCCTCTAACCGTGCTAAGAAAGGGTGAAAGCGAAAATCAATTGCTTATATTTACTTCAAAGGTGCTGTAAGTGACTTTTTTGGGAAAATCATCAGGATGCATGGAGATAATATGAGTTGCACCATATAATACACAGTCAACATACCCATTTGGTAGCTGGTTTGATTGACGAAGATGACATCGTCAGTGTTGTCTTGGACTGAGTCTGGCGAGGAGTTGGAGTCGCTGTCCATGGCGTCAGACTCGGTGCTGCTGTCATCGCTGATGTTGATCACTCCCGCTACATCAGTAATCTGTCGGGGTTGCTTTGGCTGCCGTGCCCGTGGCTTACCTGCGCAAGAACATTCAATCAAACCATGAGGCCGAAAGCAAAGACAGGCAATGTATGGACAGTGATACTAACACACGACACGACTCACGTTTCCTCTTGTTCCCAGCTCCTTTTTCTCTTCTCTGCTTCTCTGACGGAAAGTGTTTGAGGACCAGAGACTGAAACACACCCCTGAGGAACACACAAACACATTATTGTGTCAATAAGTCGAATAGAAGAGGTGTTTTTGTGTAATGGCCAATAGCTTAAGGAAGTGGTTATTATCAGATGACACTAGGTTTCAGAATGATACATGGCCTGTGAGATGTCCACAGTAACATATTGAGAAACCTTTCTATCATTGTGAAACTGCAAGAGCACTACTCTGGAAAGAAGTAGTCATAAGGTGGCCGTATATTTTAGAAAGGTTTCAATGATGCCCAAAATTCACTTACTCGGCAGCAGACACAAATCTGTCCAAGTGTCCGTCGTTTTCGTCAAGGACTTCTCTGGTTCGAGCCTCACCTGTTGACTGTAGCCCTATCACGACACACTAGAGAGAGGGAAAAAAACTGTCAAATGCCTTAGCAACAAATAATAATGAGAGAGAGTTCAGGGTCGCTGATCTGACTGACCTTCCCTGCTTCCAACTCTTTTTTGGCCAGTTCCACCAGGCAGCGCACCTTGGCAGCGATACAGAGGTATTTAAAGAAACGCTGGTGGGATGACCAAAACTGACCCCACAGGGATTTCCTGGAGCTCATGCAGAGTTCGTCAGCGGCCTGCATGAACACGGCCAAAGCTTCCGCCCACTGCAAAGGAGATATCAGATATACGTGTCAGATGTATGTGCACAGCAAAGTAACACATTTACAGACCAATTTAGATGGTACTTCATTTAAAAGGACAGTTCACTCAAAAATTTAAATTCGGTCATCATTTAGTCACCATCATGTTGTTCCAAACCCATACATCCTGGTAACTCTTTTTCATATACTGAAAGTGAATGGGGACTGAAGATGTTAAGCTTCAAAATGCAAAAATGCACCTTTAAAGGTCCCCTGAAATGCTTAGAAACACGCAGGGTTACTCTATGTGCTGACGTCATTTTAACTGAAACAGGAAGACATGGCGGGACATATCAAGCTGCCCCGCCCCTTTTTAAAATAGCCAATAGCGTTCGTTTATATCACAGCTTGGGCTAGAGCCGTTCAGAGCCGTTGAGCTCTGTAAAGCCGCATTTGACAGGGTATGCCAGCCACAATCTCATCCATATTGCTATAAAATATAGCATTCTGTGTAGAATTCAAATAGCTCCGATACATTCTGTGGTCTGCGCCGACTCGCGCATGTGATCCGCTCCGTGCTATCGTGTCTCTGGACCGGAGCAGAGTGTGTGTGCGGTGCGGTGGTTAGCGTGACACAGCGCGAAACCAGACTTCTTTTTTTCCTCAATGGAAAGCATATTTACACTGTTTGAATCGTTCCCTGTCCCCTATATAGTGCACTACGTGCCATTCACTGTACAGAAAATACTAATTCTGTGGACAAGTGACCGATTTCAGCCATGGCTTCAGCGTCTATTTTATAGTGTAGGGGGCGGGCGCTTCGGATTCTAGAGAGCATTTGATTGGACAGAAAGTTTGATGAGAAGCTGAAGTACGATGTGACGTCAAAAAAATTGTTGAGCCGTTTTGGCGGAAGTGAGAACTGCAAGCTTTGAATGCTTATATATCTTCTAAATGCGAATTTTGTCACTGTTTTGGAGCACACTGCCTTATAGATGGCTTTAAGACTAACATATTGATACTAACACCCAAAAAACTTTAATTTTGATTTAATGGGGACTTTAAATGATCCTAATAATGGTTAATTTTCTTATTGCACAGTATTCAATGTCTTCTGAAGACTGGGAATATCTAGTCAGAGTGATATTGGCTACTTGATATTTTGGGGCTTGACAGCACTAGTCCATATTCTCTTCCATTTTATGGAAAAGGTCATCCAGAATATTCTTTAAAAATTCAGGTTTAGATGTCAATTTAAATTTTTGGGTGAACTATTTTAATTATATATATTTTTTTTTTCTAAAGATGGTTCTGTTCAGCGTTTTGTACCTACTGGATAATAGGAGATGTTTTCAACAAATATTATATTCAAATACTTGTTTTCAACATGTACACTACCATTCAAAAGTTTGTGGTCAGTACAATTTTTTCAAAATCCTAAAAAAACGCTTTCACAAACACATTAAGCAGCACAACTGTTTTCAACATTGATAATAATAAGAAACGTTTCTTGACCAAATCAGCATATATGATAATATGATCATAATATCATAATATGATTTCTGAAGGATCATGTGACAATGAAGACTGAAGTAATAGCTGCTGAAAATTCAGCTTTGCCATCACAGGAATAAATTACATTTTAAAATATATTAAAAGATAAAACAGTTATTTTAAATAGTAATATTTACAATAATACTGTTTTTAACTGTATTTTTGATCAAATAATGGTGAGCATAAAAAATCTTTTGAACGGTAGTGTGTAATCAACAAAGCATAGCCTTTCTTTACTTTAAAGTCTTAAAAAATTTCCTTTGACCAACAGGACTAACCACTAACACACATTAAAGTAGAAGTGAGGGGAATGGCTTGGATTTCAGGGATTCTTCTCATAACTCACAAGTTTGAAAATGAAATTTTAATGCTGGTTAGAAAAATATGGTCATATTTATTTAATATTTTATATATAATAATATATAAAAAATATAATATATTAATATTATTATAAATTATTATTAATAATTATTACAATTATTACAAATGTTTTCAAGATTTGTATTTCATCTTCAGTTTAATACAGAATACATAATTGTAATAAATATTTATATTTTAATATATTATTGAAAGTGATTTTTGATCAAATAATGGTGAGCATAAAAAATCTTTTGAACGGTAGTGTGTAATCAACAAAGCATAGCCTTTCTTTACTTTAAAGTCTTAAAAAATTTCCTTTGACCAACAGGACTAACCACTAACACACATTAAAGTAGAAGTGAGGGGAATGGCTTGGATTTCAGGGATTCTTCTCATAACTCACAAGTTTAGCAGCTTTGTTGTACACAAGTTTGAAATCATCATCCAAGCTGATCTCTTCTATGCGGAATGAGACTCCTGAGAAGCTGAGTTGGCGTGCGATGTACATCCCGCTGACCTTCATATCCATTGCGACGATCTCCATGGCCCCCACGCCCCTATAAATGAAGAGTACATTCAGATTACATATCCATAAAGGACTGTTTTCATATTTGCCAGCCAACAAGTTCATGCTCCTCTGCAAACCTCTTCTCAATGGCGTGGAGGAAGTCGTCAAAGGTTCTGAAGGGGGTTCCCTCTCCCCAGATCCCCAGACGGCTCATATATATCATGTTCTTTGGCTCCGAGGCACCTGTGGCACTGGCATACACCACTCTGGCCAATGGCAACTTGTTCTGCAGATCCAGCACGGCCTTGCCCATCTTTGTGGATGTTGCATTTTTGGCTTTGTGGCATTCGTCAAATATGATCTAAAGGAAGCCTACTGTCAAGGGCAAAACCAGCTTCATTGTTCACCCTCTTTTTTTTCCCTGAGGTTTATAAAAATTAATAAATAAAAAAAGTCAAACCGGGGTCGGAAACAGACCCCCAAAGAAGTTGCAATGGGGCAAACAGAAGAAAATAAAAAGTTTTTACAAAATGTATTTTAACTGTAAGAACTAAAATTTTGTTAAAGTAACATGAACATAACAAACATTATACATATTTATAT